TTTTTTTTTTTTTTTTTTTTTTTTTTTTTTTTTTTTTTTTTTTTTTTTTTTTTTTTTTTTTTTTTTTTCAGTTTATTATTGAAATAAGACTCATAATTTGGGTGGTTTTTTTAATTAAAAAAAAGAGTTTGCCCTAATTTGCTCATCGTGAATCTGTGCCTTTCCCCAACTCTCTCAAAATCAATCTTCATCTCTCATTGCTTAATACTGGACCACCGCCCTCACGGCGTCGCACAACGTCAATTCCGGCCGCTTTCGATTCTTTCGCTTATCTCCCTCGGACTGGTATGATTGAAGTTTTCATTAGTTTTCCGATTCTTCCATTTCTTTGATTTACGCTCTCGACATTCACTTCCATTTCTAGTTTCTGCTGTCGCCCCGTTCCTCGATTTCTTCGATTTACATTATGTCATCTCCATTTTCTTCCTGCTTTTCTTGGTTATAATTTATGTGCTGTGTTTAGTTTATGTGATGAATTAAGTTTTGTTTAATTTTTTGTTTTTTAGTCGTAGAATTGGACTTGGGTTGATTAAGTAAAATCTAGAAATTGGGTTAAATGCTATGCTAAAGATCTGTAATCAAATCAAAACTGAAGAATGTGCTTGAATTCTATGCTGCGAGTGAGGCAACCACTGGCGAAAAAACTCAGGATTGCCTTTCCATCCTCTGTTCAGTAGCATTGCTTTTCCGGCATTACCGTCGTTTGTTACTTTTTTCTTCCCAGTAATATTATTAAATGAATATTCTCCACTTTGCTTCCATGATCACCCTCCCAATGCTGAAGCTAGACTTATTTGGAATAATTAAGGGCTTTTCTTTGGAATTTTTAGTTGGGAAGGAACAATAGAATTCTTCCGGGAGCATATTGGTTTCTTATGCCTCTACTTAGGTGCAGATTATCCAACCCTTTTTCATACTATAGGTTATCTTCTCTTTGAGCCAGTTCGAAAGTTTTCTTGTAAATCTATTCTTTTAGCCAGGCTGAGGCTGAGGCTTTCCTATCCTTCATTTTGCACATTTCATACTTTCAGTGAATCATCTTCTTATGCAAAAACAATTAATTTGAACCTTTATTCTTTTTGGTTTTGGTTTGAAGCGTATCAGATTGGAGTTAGAGGCAATCGACAGACAGCTATGGCAGAAGAGGCAAAAGACCCTTTCAAGGGAGTCGATTGGAAGGCCGTGGGTGGCGATATGCAGAAAGATCCCAGCTCTATAAACATTTTAAAGAAAAGGCGTCCAACAAAAGTTAGGCAAATTCCAGAGTATTATTTTCTTCCTAGAAGATCCCTTTCCTCGGTCCTTGCATTCTATGGGGCGTGTATTGCAGGTGGAATTGGAGCTGGGATGCTGGTGGAGATATGGATTAAGGATAAAGTTAAAAGTAAGCTTTGAATTTGTTCTTAATAGTCTTGCTTCATAATCCTACCAATATCATTAACCTTATCCAGAATTCATAGCTTTATATTGATAGGTTTCTAAAACTTTAAAAGACCTTTAAAAGTGTCGAATAGATATTTAAACTTTCAATCTTGTGTCCAATAGAACCTACTAGACATAAAATTGAAACTTTAAAGTCTTCTTAGAAATAAAATTCAACTCTATATCTAATTGATCAATTAGTTTATTATTCAAATATAATGAAGGGACCTATTAGATACACTTTTTTATGTTAAAAAATGTCTTGGACACAAAATTGATAGTTCAACTACAAAACTTATGACACAACATTTTTTTTGTGATGTGTATGAGAGATAGACAGTGTGATTGACTATTGAAGTTTCCTTTTTGATGTGTTCTTGCAGAGGATGGAGGCGTCGTCTGGGAGTTTGACAAGTAGAGTACAGAGAGATGAAGTTGTAATAAGATCATCCAGTTCTGGGTTTTGTTTTGTTGTCAATCCTTAGTTTTGGCACATATAAAGGAAAACATCTTTTATTGTCACTGTGAAGTTGTACAAAAATTGGAAGCAATAACCAGTAAGTTTTTCAAAGTTATGACTCCAATTCAGCTATTGGTTGTTTCTGTAGTTATAGATCAAGCACAAATGACAATAAATGCAATCATTTTTGGTATAAAGCTTATACAGATTGTTGCTTTGCTCTGGTAAAGCTGGGTTTTGGTGGATATCATGTGCTAGTAATCTTATCATGTTTCCCTGCCTAGCTAGAGTTTTTTACTTTTTTTTATCAACAATACTCTCTCCACATCTTGGTCCAAGATATCTTTTTAACTATCTCAAGTTGACATCTTTCTTAAAGTTTCTGTTTTCCACAATTTCTCCTCTTGCAAACATTTGTTGGTTAAGATTCAGATAAACAAACCCTTTCTTCCTTCTTCAGATTCGGATAATCGACTTGCTAAAATGTAAAATGAGGAAAATTAACAAGATGGAGAGTGCAAAATGCATATGCAAGTCTGAATAAGAATCTAGAAAAGGTTGCTTGCTTGGCTGGGTTTTCAGCAAGATAAGGAAGGCCTGGATTAGGCCCCAAATACTGCATTCTTGCCTTTGGAGAAATGGAGAAGCCAGGCTTCTGCTCTTTGCTACTTTGAGAATCTCATATGATGTAGTGTATAGGGATTTGAAACTCCTGACCTAAGTAGATGTCATAACCTTAAATTTTGTAGCATTAGCACAAGATGCATCAAAAACCTCCATTCTCCTACAGATACGAAATCGCTCCCATGACTCGAACACCAACATATCTTAAAAAGCGACATTCAAAATCGAAAAAGAAATTGACTCAAATTGGTACATAGTTCAGCAGTAATCTAAAATATGATAAGCTAGTGTATGCGTTAGGAGTTTGGAGTGACACATTCGACCTGGCAGTGTTAGCATTTTTTCATATATTTTAAATTATAAATTTTTAGGATAAAGTGACACATTGGACTAGTACGTGTGCGAAAAGTCGGGTCGTTACAACAAGTGTGAAGAAAACGATTGTGATTGTTGGCACTATCTCTACAACGTAGTTGTCGGCTGATGTGGGGTGACAACGCAATTAGAGAGAAGCAACAGTGATAGCAAGGCCGGTGCGAGACGATCGACTATCGACAACGACAATAAGCTGTAACGGGTGGTGTGCGAAAATGCAAGATGAAGAAGAGCAATTGGAGGTTGGCAGAAGAAGGAAGTTTTAACTTGTTAACTGAGTACTCAAGGAAAAAAAAAACATGAACTAATTTGTCATTTAACTTAAATTAATTTATATAGATGAAATATGGCATAAATTAATTTATTAACTATATCGAAAAAGAAAAATAAATAAATAAAACATATAATTACCGAGAAATTAATTATTGAAATGTTACCCAAAAAAGAGAAAAATGATGGAGAATTGATATTGTGGTTACAGTTGCATCTTATACTCGAATGAAAAAAAAAAAACTGATTCGCGCAAAGGAAGAAGCTTGAATGCATCACTTGCTAATTCAACTGTCCCAGTGATGAGCTTCCGTCGCCGATCACTGTAACCCCTCCATTTGTTCCGATCAGGCCCAATTCCATGGCGGGAACGGCCTCGGAGATCGATTCTATCTATCGTCTCCCTCTCCCTCTTTTAGGATCCGAGCCGATCCCTTCCGCCCCGAATAGATTCGCTGGTTCCTCCATCGACTGGATTCCAGATTTTGCTGGCTATGCATGGGTCGCTTATGGAGCCTCATCCGTTTTGGTGATTTCTCACTTCCCTTCTCCTCTGTCTCCCCAAGAAACCACAATTGGACCCATATTTCGCCAGGTACTGGAGCTCTCTGGCGACGACTTATCTGTTGTCAATGCCGTATCTTGGTCTCCCGTATTACCGTCGGAGGGCGAGCTCGCTGCAGCTGTGGGCAACCGGATATGGGTGTTTTCTCATGATTTGGGTGCTTCTCGAGGTACGCGACAGTTTACAGTTATTATGTTTTCATTACTGTATGTTCGTGGGAAAATGGGCGAAGGAACTGATTGGGAAGTGACATATTGGATTTAGTGCCAATTAGTTCAGCGTGTCTTTTCTAGGATAGTTATAAAGTTAATTTCCACTTGGATTCGCCAACAATGTGGGAGATTGAGGTAATGGTGATGAACACGTCTTCNCTGATATATTTTCCATTTCTTTGCCTTCTGATTGTAATACAACATATAAATTCAATAAATTTATGTTAATAGGGGTATGGATGGAAGGATTTCAGGCACTATCATGGGAAATCACCTTACATACTTATGATATCTTTGGGACTGGAGTACATTGCAATTGTGATATTGATAATGAAAATATAGCTGAGCTCAGTATATTGACATTTGAAAGTTCTTTTGGAAGCAAAAAGTATTGTGTTAGTATAATCCCCTGCTCATCACAGTTCCCAAATTCTCAAATTAATGACCAGATTACAAGTTTTGGCGTGGTGCACCAAGGAACTTTTGCTCCTGTGCAGCAAAAATTAACTTCTTCAGGTGAACCATATACCCCTGCATATATTATGGCTACTGGCTCTGCTGATGGAAGTTTGAAACTTTGGAGAAGCAATGTAGGCAAACCATCAATCTTTCACGTGTCTTGGGAGCTTGTTTGTGTTGTTGTCACTCACCAAGGCCCCATTACTGCATTGTGTTTGACCGATTGTGGACGGAAAATTGCTACAATTAGCAAGAACAACCATAAACCTAATATCAGCAACGTTCACTTATGGGAGCTTGCATGCCTTGGTGCAGGGACCCTTTTGTTTGAAGATGAACTGTCCTTTGAAAGCAATATCATTGCAGTAGACTGGTTAACTTTAGGAAATGGTCAGTTTTTACTTGGAATTTGTTTGCAAAATGAATTGCGTGTGTACTCCCTGAAGCATTTTGGTCAGACCTTGTCAGGCATCACAAAATCTTTGGATACTGAGACTTGGATCTGCATTGGGTTTGCTCGTACTTTACCATCTAATTGTGGCTTCCTCTGGGGGCCGAAGAGCACAGCAATAGTTATACATGATCATTACTTTTGTATAGTTAGTCCTTGGCTGTTCCTTGGGGATAAAAACCATGATGCTATGTGCAGCCCTTATTACATTGGAGAAACTAAAAATCACCATGTCAATGGGACTGATGTCGCTGTTTTTGCTGATGAATGTTGCAGTATCAGAAAATTATCAGATGATAATTATGACAGCAAACGTAGACCAAGATCTCTCACAAACATTCATGCTGAAACCAATATTCTATCGAATAGTTCATATCCACGGGTTGCACAGATGAAAAGTACAACTTCGCTTGGTCTTATAAGCATGCCTGATATAGCTGATAAATTGTGTGGATCACTGTCCTCTTTTCATCCTCATGCTCTCCTCATTGATATATATTCAGGTGATTATATAAACTACTGCCTATCGGCAAGTTTGGTTGTTTTTTTTTTTTAAGGATTTTCCCTTAAAAGCTTCCACCAATAATTCATTACGAGCCATCTTATTATATGCTTTTATGAGCACAGAGAATATTTTATCCATTTATCCATTTGTTTTATTTTTATATCTGATAAATTTTACATTTTTAGTCTTGTTATTGTCTTGTTAATTTTATTACTTTTGTTGACTTGCCACCAGCCACAGCTAACTAAACATTTATTTTCCTACTTTCTGGTTAAAGCATGAAACTGTTAATTTCCATATTTTCTCGAAGAAAACTATAATTTGTCTTTAAAATCGTCAGATAAAATGCACCATGAGGCTGCAAAATAATCAACTATTAGCAGTTTAATTTTAGGTCAATTTCTGTAGAATTTTTATCATCTCTCTGTTCGGTACAGTTAAACTCAGTGGTTCATTCAGGCTTAAGATTTGCAATCCTCAATTTGAATAGGTAAGTGGAAACGTGCATATTCAGCTTTGAGTCATCTTATTGAGCATCTTTCTTCTGATAAAAAGAGTTCTGCAAACCCAACCAATACTATTCCGGAGATCCTTTTGTCAGATTATTTTGAAGGAGTTGCGAAAACTTCTACTGATAAAGAAGTTCAGTGGAGTATGAATGGCTTAGCATCCCAATTTAAGGAAGGTGTTTCACCATGGACCTTCAATTGGGATTCTATTAGTAATGACAGCTCATTCATTCCGTCCTCTACGAAATCTGAATTCAGCTCCTTTATTGAGCCTCTTGAAAAGTTCTATGAATCAGCAGGGCTAACCAGCATGGAGAAGACAGAAACTCTAGCAATTATAGATCTTCTTGATGAAATCAGTAATAAATCTTCTGCATCTGCCTACGAAAGTCTTGATGAGCCCGGGAGAAGGTACTTTACAATAATGCTTTTGTAACTTCTCAATTACACTTTTTGTTAAACGGCTTGAGGAAACCCTTGCCTCATTTTCACTATTTGTGTTTTCTTATATATGCCTCACTGTCACTATGCCCTGCAGATATATATATGTGTGTGTGTATATACATATATTCTTATTGTGAAACCGTGAATTTTCTTTTTCCAGTTTTGAATGTTTCAATTGATTATAAGTTCATGTACAGTTTATTTCATTAGTTTTTTAACATTTGTTACTTTTCTTTTCTATATTTTTCATTTGATCGTTCAAGTTCTAGTATGGTACCCTCGTAATCGTTAGTGTATACGCTACACACCTTAGATTCCATGTAAAGAGATCGCCGATTTGCTAGTTTGACGTGTGAAATTTTATTATCACTTTGAGAATTGATTGTGGATCAAACGAAGGATATTGCCCTTCAAGTGTTGTGCCTTCCACAGCTCTATGCCGTGTTACCAAAAAAAATATTGCTGTATAAGAGGTGTGGGAGGAAAATGTTTGTTATTAAAAGATTTTGACTAGAAGAACTACACAGAACTCAAATTTGCTAGTTTAGGGAGCATATCAAGTTGTTAAATTTTGTAATTTGCAGTGGCTGGGTTTAATTTTCGTCAAACCTATTTTCTTCAGATAATTCTTTGACCAAGAACTTCACCAAGAAATAACTGGACCTCCAGCTGTTGAAGTCTTGTATCTAGAATATTTCCTCTCAACAACCACAAAAACTGCACGAAGATTCAATTATAGCTCTTCCATTTGCTCTTCAAGGGCGTGTTAACTATTAACATGACTGAAAAAAATTCACAGTAAATGTCCAACCATGCTTCCAAGTAACAGTTATGTGTTCTATGTGAAAGCAAAGGGTGACCAAGCACATCTACTGTTTCGTTGCTCTTAAGCAAGAATGTACATTTTTGGTTGTATATTCATTTTCAACCCAGGAGTATACGAAACACTGAAAAAGAAAAGTATAAATAAATAAATATATATATATATATATATTAATCCGGAAAAAGGTTATTGATGTATGAAATTGATAAAGGGATGGAAAATCAATAAGAATTACAAAATGCTTTCCCGAGTGATTAAAATCTGGGTCAATATGTGGTCCCATACTTAAATATAAGGTTATTGTATTGGGGAAAAAATGCAGTTAGAACAACAAGTTATATATAAAACTAAACCGTATGCTCTTCAGTGACTTGGATATGGAGGGAAAAGCTCCTGAATTCCTAATTTGATGACGTTTTGTTACTCATCCTGGCGTACTTCATCTACATTTTTCTTTTTTGTAATTTTGCTCCCTTCTAACTAATTCAAAATGGGGTAGTATTCTGTAGTATTCAATCATGTAATTTTCTTGTTCCATGTTGTAGTGATTATTTATTTTCATTCTCTAGATATTGGATTGCTTTGAGGTTTCAACAACTGCGATTTCTTCGGTGTGATGGTAGATCAGCATCTCTGGAAGAGCTGACCATTGATTCAAGATTGATTGGATGGGCCTATCACTCTGATTGTCAGCAAAATCTATTGGATTCGGTTATCTCTAAAGAACCAACATGGCAGGAAATGAGAAGTTTGGGTGTTGGAATTTGGTTTACTAATACAACACAGTTGCGTGCAAGGGTAATACTTGGAGATCTTGTATATTAGTATAAATTCTTTAGCTCGACTTAATCATAGAAATCAAATTGATTCTTTAATACTTATGTATTTGTCTTTCTTTTTGTGCAAACTCTTTATATAAACATCAGACTGGGTACTGGTAATGTAGATCAAGGCAGTTGTCCTAATTCATACCAAACAAGTACATTTCTTTTCCTGAAAAAATGAATGCAACCTTTCTCCGTTCTTGGGTTTTCATAATCCATGGTATATTTTGAAGATTAAGTACCCTAAAAATCCTTTAGCCATCCACTTGAAGTAGATTATGATTTTCTTGTCTACTTAGATGAGGTTTGGCCATGGGTGTTAGTACACC